TTTTTGTATTTTTACCAAACATTTGAAAAAGGAAACACATATGGGATGTCTTTGAACTGGGTAAATCGTGCTGCTCATTGATTAATTACAACTAACGTCATGTTATCAGAGCTATACTTACTACAGAATGACATTATTTTATTAGAATACAATTATGTTACATCTATGTGACATCATGTCTGCATCTGGCGTTTCTTACGCTTTGTTTTGGTCAAATGCATTTAAAACCACTGTTAAGTCAACAGATTTAAACAACTCATTTTCATCCTAATCTTAAAACTATTCAACACAATATCACTTTAACCCCATTTACTGTGTATATTTAGAGTCTTCTCCGGTTTCACCTTGATTATCACATTGTTGTCACTCTGTCATCAGCCATCTGCTTTGATCACTGTCCCTGCTCTTTTTAAAGATGTCCTTGGAGTCCATCGCAGCGTGTCATTCAGATGTATTTTTATCTGTGCTGATGCTAAACGCTAACATTACAACGGTGCGTCCTAATGATTTCCACTATCGCTCTGATCAAGGACAACAAATGGTTTAGTTAAAGAAACCCATTGATTATGTTTTGGACCAAAAGAGAAGTGTGTGCTGCCCTCAAAAACTCTCATCTGTTTTCACTGCACTTTTATCACAAAGACTTTCAGTGTGTGTGTGTCTGTGTGTGACTGTGTGTGTGACAGTGTGTGTGTCTGTGTGTGTGTGAGACTGTGTGTGTGAGAGATTGTGTGTATGACTGTGTGTGTGTGAGACTGTGTGCGTGTATGACTGTGTGTGTGAGAGACTGTGTGTGTGACTGTGTGTGTGTGCGACTCTGTGTGTGAGAGACTGTGTGTGTGACTGTGTGTGTGTGTGTGTGTGTGTTTGTGTGTGTGAGACTGTGTGTGTGAGACTGTGTGCGTGTATGACTGTGTGTGTGAGAGACTGTGTATGTGACTGTGGGTGTGTGCGACTATGTGTGTGAGAGACTGTGTGTGTGTGCGACTCAGTGTGTGAGAGACTGTGTATGTGACTGTGTGTGTGAGAGACTGTGTGTTTGACTGTGTGTGCGTGCGACTATGTGTGTGAGAGACTGTGTGTTTGACTGTGTCTGTGTGCGACTATGTGTGTGAGAGACTGTGTGTGTGACAGTGTGTGTGGGACTGTGTGTGTGTGTCTGTTTGCGTGTGTGCGTGCGTGCGTGACTGTGTGTGTGAGACTGTGTGCATGTGTGAGACTGTGTATGTGTGACTGTGTGTGTCTCGCTTCTCAGCAGGACGGTCCTGGGTTCGAATCCCGGTCGGAACAGGGCCTATCTGAGTGGAGTTCACATATTATCCCCGTGTCTGCTCCGGTTTCCTCCAGGTGCTCCGGTTTCTCCTACCACTAAAAACATGTCCACTCGTTACAAACTGAATGTATTGAGTGAAGGAACGAATGATGTTGATTGTAGGTTTTAACACACGGTGGTGTAGTGGACACTTTCAGCCACTTTGTCTGAAGCTGTTTGGGTGAGGTGGACTTTAGGACATGGAAGGAACTAAGAGTAAAAATATCCATAATGGAGGGGAGCGAAGAGGACAAGAGGGGGGGAGGGGATGTGCTGCTGCAGTAGAAGTTAGTCTACATTAAAAGGATCAATCTCACTCCTGGCAGCATCTTGGACCTTGGTGTAAAACAGAGGAAAGAACAATAGAGTAAACCCTGCTGCTGCTGCTGACACAATAATAACTAGGGATAGGCAGGTGAAGCCCCGTAACGCACCAAGACCGGATTGTATCAAATGTGTCGAAGCCTCTGAGCTCATACTAGGTTGTAACACTGACATCTAGTGGACAAATTTAACCCATCGCAGCTTCTGAATACTTGAGTATACTGCAAACACTGTCTATACCAGTGTTTTTCAACCAGTGTGCCGTGGTGCAGTAGTGTGCCTTGAGATGTTGTTTGGTGTGCTTTGGGAAATTTTCCAATGTGACATGATTGGTCAAAATAATGTGAAAAAAAAATAATAATTTGAGAAGATGAGTTAAATGTTTTGCGCTTGTTTTATTTTCTTTATACATCTACTTTGTTTAGAATGACTTTGTTTTCATACTAAAAGCTGCAAAGTTTCAGCTGGTGGTGTGCCATGTGAGTGTTTTTAACCAAAAAGGTGTGCCACAGCTACAAAAAGGTTGGGAAACACTGGTCTATACTATCCGCTACAGTCTAGGCCTGCCATTCCCAAAGTCAGTAACACCGTGGCCCCCTTAAAAATCTGATGGGTCTGTGCGGACCCCCGAAATAACAACCAAGAAGACAACGTTAAAAATAGGCTCTTCTCGTTATTTTATTTGGGGGATATAGGCTCTGCTGCAAACATGTAAATGACGCACCCCATTTTGTAATACCAAAAATGATTACAATTTGATTATTCAAGTCAAATAATGAACACGAATATTTTGATATTACAAACAAAATATTATTAATTTAACATATAATAATTATATTGAACCCCACTTTGGGAGACACTGGTCTAGGCTATCCACTGCAGTCTATTTACTATCCAACACAGTCTAAACTATTGTCTAAAAGCTGTCAAAGCAACACAGTGTTACGAATCATCTGCTTCAGGAAGAGCGACACACGTTCCAGAGCCTCGGTGTAGTTTGTCAATCACTAATCTCTAATTATTATGCTTTCTAATACTTGCTAACATTAACATAAAGTCTGCTGCAGAATTGATACTGTTACTTTAAAGACAGAGAGATAGATAATAACTATTGATTTTATATGTTTGGTTCTGTGTATGTCTCTGCGGTCTCTGTGGTCTCTGTGGTCCCTGTGGTCTCTGTGGTCTATGTGGTCTATGTGGTCCCTGTGGTCCCTGTGGTCCCTCTGGTCCCTGTGGTCTCTGTGGTCTCTGTGGTCCCTGTGGTCTCTGTGGTCCCTGTGGTCTCTGTGGTCCCTGTGGTCCCTGTGGTCCCTCTGGTCCCTCTGGTCCCTGTGGTCTCTGTGGTCTCTGTGGTCTCTGTGGTCCCTGTGGTCCCTGTGGTCTCTGTGGTCTCTGTGGTCCCTGTGGTCTCTGTGGTCCCTGTGGTCTCTGTGGTCCCTGTGGTCTCTGTGGTCCCTGTGGTCTCTGTGGTCTCTGTGGTCTCTGTGGTCCTTGTGGTCTCTGGCTCTTGTTTGGGATTCTTTTGGAATCATTCACTAATTCAGTTCCTACTGTTTGGTTGTGAAAACATCAGCTGTTTTCATCCCCAAAATCCATACTTCTAAATCAGTTTATTGACTTTTAATTAAGGTTTTCCTCTGTGTTGAACATCCTTTCTTTCATATACAGAAATGATTCATACTGGCTCAATGTCATGATACTGAGAAAAGTAAAAAGACAAATACAATAAGATAAATAAATGTGTCTTTTTACATCTTGCACTTTTACATCATCTCGTCTAAAGGTGGAATGGGTCTGCTGCTGCACATGTGTTGGACTCCAGAGATCGACACTTTCATTTCTCCATAATCTGCAAATGGACTTGCTACAGGGATTTTCTGTTTCCCCTTTTCTTTCTTTTCTTTCTCTGAAGCTCTTTTCGATGTCCTCCGTCTATCTCATTGTCTCTAGCAAAAACCTCCAGGGAAATAATTTGTGACGTGCACACACACACACTCTCACTCGGAGCCACTTTTTCGTGGAGGAGCTGAATGAATAACAAATCTAAAGTTCAGCCCTCGACCTGCGCTTGCTCTGGACTGTAGTCTGCTAGACACAAACACTAGCACACGCACATGCACACATACACATACACATACACACACATACCCACATACACTCTGTCTGAACCCTCACAAAGCAGAAGCCCGCATTCTTCCAGCTTGAGGCTTTCTCTGGTCGTGGTTGATCCAAGGTCCCACCATAGATCACCTCCACTTTCACATCCATCTCGGTCCCTCTTTTCCCCGTCCTGTCACTACTTCTCTCTCCCTCTCTTCTCTCTGTCTCTCTTCTCATTATGTGGAGAGAAGTTGGAGACTTGTTTACCAATGAGGTATTTAGAATTGACGTGGGAGAAAAGCTGTGATCTAAAAGCCAATTGATTCACACGACTGGAGTGAGAGCCTAAAACCCTCCTGTCAGGTGCAAAGTTAGTTTGAAATTCAGATTTATTTGGGCGAATCCTTATTAGCAGGCTAGCATCATTTGTTGTTCAGTTTCACACTGCATCGCATGGCATGGCCTTGGTGCTGGATCTAAAGCCCATCTGTGGGAGTGGAGTCGTCTCTCAATGTGGGCCTCCCCCAGGCTTCACTTTGTTCCCACTGGTTTTTTAGAGTTGTTCCTCTCTGATGCAGGAGGGTCTAAGGACAGTGATGATCCAGGACACTCAACATTCAACATAATTTATGGACGTTGGTTTCTGCCCCGTATGGACCAATGACCAATTCTCTGTTCTGTGTTGGAAAAACCACAGATTTGTAAAGTCCTCCGAGATAACTTGTGATTTAGGGCTGGACACAAATACCTTGAATTGAATGGAATTGTGATAAAAAAACAACTTTTTCCAAACTTAATAGAAGGCATCAGAGAGAAAGTAATTGAATTTAATTAATACGCACTTTGTATTCAGGTAATTTCTAACTCTGCTCTTTACTTTCTGTTTTGCAGATCTCAAAGGGACTGAGCACAATGGGAAGCCTAAGCCTCTGAGGGGGGAGCACAAAGACCATACGGAATAAGCCTTATAAAGCCAACGCAGGACAAAAGAGGAGGAGAAGGTTGGACAGGAGTAGGCGGAACACTCTTAAGCCAGCGCCAGGCCAGCGAGCAGGGGATCTTTTCAACTGCAGAGGAGGTGGAGAAAGGAGAGAGGAGACAGTGAAAGGAGGTGTTGTTGTCCCTCCCCTGGGTGCATGCGCCCTCTCCACTCCCCTGAGACCTGGACATCCACTTTTTATGTGTTACTGACGGGAACAAAAGGGCAAGAATGCGCAATAAACCAAGTATTGAAAGCCTTTGGGCCCAGAGGGGTGTTTGCATGACACTGCCCAGGACTAAAGCTTTGATGCTGGTCCTGCTCTTGGCGCTGGCGGGAGGGTTGACCCCAGTGGAGGCCGAGTTGGTCGACATGGTGGTCATCGATGCTGGAGGAGGACGGGACGCACTGGAGCTGGGGCTGGAGGCGTCCATGCATTCCTCGCTGCTGCAAGGGTTTCACCGAGCGACAGAAGACGTCAGAACACCCGTGTCTCAGCAGAACGCTCCCACGGCCTTCCCAGACTCCTCAGCGGTCGTGGGGCGGATCTTCAGGATGGAGGTGCCCAACAAGATGGAGGGGGTCTACCTCGGGGATATTGTCAAGGTACGTTTGAATTAATGATGAAAGTCTTGCACAAACAGACTGTTTAGATAAGAATAACGTTTCTCACTCACTCATCTGTACTAAAGTCTTTCACCTAAATATTAACCTAGATATTAAATAAGTTCTACCAAAACATTAGTGACTTTATATATTATACATGAAGTTTACTGCTCCTTCTAATTACTGTAAATGTTTAAACTATATACTGTAACTGCTAACATTTGTGAACATTGACATGAGAAGATATATAAACATAAATACAAATATTACATGATAAAACTGGTTAATATAAATGAAATACAGCCAAACAAAATGCTAAGTGCTACAAGTAAACAGTGCGTTGCTAAGGTAACTGGCATTTTCAAGGACCAGTCCAAGACGAGTCAAGGACCCAGATGATCTCATGAACAAATAAACTACAGATAGAAACAGAAAAAAAGTCACAAAGTTATGAAGGAGTGCTTTCCCTAGAGGTGGAAGTAGGGTATTACAAGGGCATCCCAGAAGATGTAGTCACACACAGTACAGATTATGTGTGGTTAAAGATGAATAAACATTTTTTGTTTTACTCTTTTTTTGTATCATGATTTAAGAACATATTTGTATACAATTAATTAGAAGAAATATCCTGATTTGTTTTGGCGTCTGAAGGTGAAATGTCATGTTAGTTATTTAAAAATGAAATGTTTTGTTTGGGGACTTTTGTGGAGAAGGCCTGGACATATAGACAGAGAATGTGTCCAGAGATGAAATGACTGTTGTTGCTTGGACTTTTCTTTCATGTGTTAGTGTAGTAGTAGTTGAAGTAATTTCATTTCAGTCAATGACATCAAAGTAATTCATAAACTTTTTGTTCATATTTTAAAACATACTTCTGACTGAAATGGTTTAGGCCGAAGTGTGTTTACTTATTTTTTCCTAAACCTTTTTACAAATCAAAAACAACTGTCGACTGTTCACAAAACTGTTAAATAAATAACAACCAATCATCATTCATAAGGTTTTAGTTGCACATTATATGAACTTTTTTGTAGTTCATCTATTTTTCATCAGTCTATGTTCCAATAATTGCCTATATTTTCTTTGAAAAGTTTTTAAAATGGTTTTAATGTTGTCATATTAGCCATGTGGGCTGGGCCCATGTGTGCATGACACTTAAATAAAATTGATTCATATGAAGACCTAAAAACTTGCATAAGCCGAGTAATCTCAAAAAGCCAGCCATTGGACTGCTCTGGGCTATGGTTTTTTCAGAGTTCAACTTGTCAAAGCACATTTATTTTTCAAACCCCACAAGCTTTATCCAAGCTTATTTTCTCTTCTAGATTAATTTACAAGTGCAAACAATACTTTACACTAAAAAGATGTAAAGCATAATATGGGCACAAAAACAAAGAATTCTCAGAGTATTTCTTACCTTTGGACTTGTGCTTTGTTATTGAAGTAATCGATGCTTGCTGTGGCTAATTAATGTTCATAGAAAAGCAATATCCACTTGTGATTCCCGAAATACAGTCCAGTATGGAGATATAATCCAAAAATGTATTGTTTTTTTAAGCACAACATTTTTTCTTAAAAGACATTACAAGTTTCTCCTTCCCACTTTACTAAAACTATGAAACTAGGAACATGAGCCTAGGATTTGGCCATAAGATCTTGGTCGAGGCAATCCGTGCAGTAGGTTTTTTTTTTTTTTTTCTAAAAACCGCATTTGAACACAGGTCTCTAGCCTCGTAGCTGGGTTAGCGGTTGCAACATTTGACGGTTCCAGCATCCAGTCAGGCTCCGATGATGTTTGGCCAAATGATTGATAGATTTAAACAGATAACGATAGCTGGGAATGGTTATTTTTACCCCTGACCCAGATGCGTACGAAGGCAAAACACATGAGACAAGAAGCAGGTTTTACACTGCAATAAAAATACAAACTTTGAAAAACTGTAACAACATCATACAGAACGATAGCGTTTAAGAATAAAAACATAAACATTTGTTGTTTTATGGTGATGGATCACCTAGAATTTCAGTGAATGAGTTTGGCACATATTGGCACAAAGTGTGCCAAATATAACTGAATGGCACTAGCATTTGGAAAAGGGCCACTGCATCAAAATTATAAAACCTAGAGGTCTGAAACTTCATGCCTTTGTCAAGGTTTTTATAAATGTAATATTTTAGTTTAGGTTAAGTTTTTTTCCCAAACTTCAAAGGATGCAGATTGAAATATGAATGACATACATTATTCTAGTGTAAATGTGCATAAACTAGAAGGCTCTAGCTTTAAACTTATGCATCAGTGAAACGTATTGTAATGTCCCCACAGAGACCAGTTCCCCATGAACCCACGTTTATTTAAAGTCTGTCGCTACATATCCAAACCATAACATGTTCTTGTCCATGTTCTTTTGTAACCCTAACCTCTGGCTATTCACATGTCCGTGCCCACTTTTATGATTCCATTTATACATTATGGCCCGCTTCTATTCTTCCCCCTCCCTTTTTACGTTCACTGAAAACATAATTCCTCTTCATCCCCTATTGTCCAGCTTCCCACTCACTCTCAAATGGCCCAGTTATGGCATCATTCTGACTCCTACGTTTCTCCTTACATAAAACTCAATCGTGTGTTATAAGCTTGTCTCAATTATCCTTTGTTTTTTGTCGTTTCTTCCATCTCCATCTTGGCTTCTTCTTGAACAATCACAATCCCATGTTGCTGTTGTGTTTCTGGCCGTGTCAAATCACATCAAGCGTTCAGTAAAATAGAGCCCTTTTATTGCCACTTGAAACGACAACAACGCTACAAAATGTACGCGTTTACACTGTAGCTGTAAAGTATCTGTCCAATATAATCATTTTTAATATTCCTATAAACGCCAGCTTTAAGTATGTGTCAATTCTCGGAAGGAAATAGGAGCTCCTTCTGATTTAAGAGTTATTGAAGTAAAGTAGTCTCTAAAACCTGTCCTATTTCCACTTCAATCTGATGCTTATTCTACTGTATCTGTTCGCCATTTTCCCCGACATTTTCTGACAAGCGTTCTCTCTGACAATAACCTCAAAACTCAAACCTTACAATCTTACATTCTGCTGTATGTTCCGACAATAATCTAGCAAAACATATCTTAAAGTGATTGTCTGCAGTTTGTCAGAAAGAGAGAGAGAGAGAGAGGTGCTTGATTTGAAAAAAAAACGACGGAAGCTCCCTCCCCCTTCCTTTCTGATTGGTCTACGCCTATGTTTCCGTAACACTTTGAAATGTTAATCAGAGAACACATTATACATATACATTATTAATACACATGCACGCAGGGTATCAGAATTATTTGTTAACGTTTTAAAGGAATAGTTCACCGTTTTTACATACTGACATATGTTCTTACCTTACCTTAGACTAGTTAATACGTACCTGTCTGGTCTTAGTCCGTGCGCTCTGTCATGCAAACGGAGCAAAAACGGGAGCACAACCGCAGCCTCCTCTGTATACTGTGTAGGACCAAAAGGTAGCTCCCGCTAGAAGCTACCAAACTCTTCCAAGTGTTCCCTATTAAATGTATATAGTTACGTGACGTGTTACACTGCAAAGTATAGTAACACAGAAATGTAACAGTCGATTTTCTCAGCGGATAAAACGGGTACTATATTGTGAGGCGTAGTAATCTGAGTAGCGCTACGTCCGCGCACTAACTTCTCTCCGGAGACTTCTCTCTCGCTCACTTCCGTCAATAGAAGCAGCGTGACTTGTAGTACACACAGTAGCAGCGAGAGAGAAGTCTCCGGAGAGAAGTTAGTGCGCAGAGAAGTTAGGAGCGCTACGTCCGCGCACTAACTTCTCTCCGGAGACTTCTCTCTCGCTGCTACTGTGTGTACTACAAGTCACGCTGCTTCTATTGACGGAAGTGAGCGAGAGAGAAGTCTCCGGAGAGAAGTTAGTGCGCGGACGTAGCGCTACTCAGATTACTACGCCTCACAATATAGTACCCGTTTTATCCACTGAGAAAATCGACTGTTACATTTCTGTGTTACTATACTTTGCAGTGTAACACGTCACGTAACTATATACATTTAATAGGGAACACTTGGAAGAGTTTGGTAGCTTCTAGCGGGAGCTACCTTTTGGGTACTATACAGTATACAGAGGAGGCTGCGTTTGTGCTCTCGTTTTTGCTCCGTTTGCATGACAGAGCGCACGGACTAAGACCAGACAGGTACGTATTAACTAGTCTAAGGTAAGGTAAGAACATATGTCAGTATGTAAAAACGGTGAACTATTCCTTTAATGAAAAAAATATTTTTTTTATGCACAAAAAACGATCGCAGCCTTAATTGAACATTATAGGACACATCTGCAGAGGATCTGATTATGGATATAGGTTCAGTATATAAATGATTATGGATATAAGTTCAGTATATAAATGAGTAACTCAGTGCGGTTGTTCAGAATTCTTTGCTCAGTTTTCATGTAGTTTCAGAGCCTAATAGAGGCTTGATTCAGAGGCTCAGCGAAAAAAAACAACTGAGCATGCGCGCAGCTGCGAGCATCAGCGCCGATGATTGACAGCCCTTGGCATGACTCGATTGGTTAACATGGACGACATCGTGGATTCTGAGCTATAGCTAAGAGAAGGGAAGTCGGGACTTAACTGTAATATTATAATTAATAAAATGACTTATTTTATATCAACATTTAAGGCCAGCAGGTCAATTTACTACAATTCTTAAAATTTGTAATTAATTTAGAGTTACATAACTATCACTTTAATCTCTAAACGTGTCTCACTATTGGCTTGAAACCCCAAATGTACATCAACATGATTTGACCAATAAAATCCCTGTTCTCTGGCAAAGCTAAAGCAGTCAGACTATAGCCCAGGGGTGTGGTCCTCAAAGGGCCGGTGTGGCTGCAGGTATTAGTTCCAACCCGAGAATTCAATCCCGTTTTGTTTAGCTGTGCATACAACTGTGGGATTTTATCTTCACTCTTTTTAACAAACTGTGAT